GATGATGATGATGATGATTTGGATGATGATGATGATGATGATGATGATGATTTGGATGATGATGATGATGATGATGATGATGATTTGGATGATGATGATGATGATGATTTGGATGATGATGATTTGGATGATGATGATTTGGATGATGATGATGATGATTTGGATGATGATGATGATGATGATGATGATGATGATGATGATGATTTGGATGATGATGATGATGATGATGATTTGGATGATGATGATGATGATGATGATTTGGATGATGATGATGATGATGATGATGATGATGATGATGATGATGATGATGATGATGATGATGATGATGATGATGATGATGATGAATGTACTGTGTATTATCATCATAGAGATATTCGTAACTGTTTTATCTGAACACTTCGTTGTACCATAACCGAACTGTGTAAATGAAAAATACAAGGGTAGTTGACGTTACAACTTGAAATGAAGGGTTTAGTAAAAATTTCACTTCGATACACAAAGTGCTCACTTATTTAGTATGCAAATTATTGACCATAAGTGTTGGGTTTGAAAAACATCTTGACTATGATATCATTGCTGATAACTTTATTCTAAGTCAAAAGTGTATATTCACAGTTAACTGAAAGTTTACACAAATGTATGTCCTTTTGTTATGGTTATGATTAAAGCAGAATACGGTATACGACTACAACACTCGAACATATAGAACCTTCACAGTTGCATAAAGAAGACAGAAGAAAGCTGGAAAGCTGTTTGTTGGGGTAAGAATCAAAATGTACAAAAAATCATGAGTATATATAGATATTAGCGTTTGTTATAACATCAATTGAGCCAAGTCACAATGAGGCATGTTATGCTACTGTCCGCCCCTAAATGCCCTGGTACGGCCAAGAGTGGGGAGAGTTTGCTCTCCCACTCGAAATGCTCTCATATGGCCACGTGAATATATAGCCTCTGCCAGGGAAGTCCTACTCACTGCCTTCTCGTGGCGGGAGTGTTGTTTACGAAAGTGAGAGGACGAAAAGCGAATGTCCGGCGCTTTAACCGGGTTGGTGGATATGGAGGATCCACCTAGCGGAGTTGGAAAACCCTGATTCTAAACCAATGGTGCACATGGGCTCCAGTATCCTTAGAGAACAAATGGCGTATGTATCAATCGTTGGTCACCGGCTACCATGGGACTGCATCTCCTCACGATGCTCCACTGCCTTGTGGATTAGACATTCAGGTCAAAAGCTCCGGGTGTGGCCCCCTAAGTAAACCACCTGCTTCAGTCTGGGCACCTGGGCAGTATCACAGCCCTCAAGCAAATCGAATGAGATTTGTGAGGCGCATATTTATCTGGTGCTTCCTTGTACCAATATTTATGTGTTTAAATAAATAAATAAATAATGCTACTGTCCAATTGTAGAATGTCACGTTGATATTCTAGAAAGCTCCATTATGTTTTGATTGGATTGAAACTCTTTGAATCCTTTAGAGCTTCTGAAGGCTCCATCATAATTCTCAGAATCCATCCCAACAGCTCAATATTCCAAGTGAATTATATGCGGCTCCTTTAATGTTCACTAGTTTGTCTTTGTTTGAACAGGAGTATTGAAAATCCGGTAGAAATAATGTACTCAGAAGATTTCAAGTCAACAACTTTGACTCAAACACTAACCCTTACATTCTATTTGATATTAGTTTATGATGAAAACTTTATCTGTAGTCCCTAACCTTAAAAAAACTAATCTCAACTACTTATCCTAGTTCATTACTCAAATTTGTAATCATAAACCTTTTGTTGTGGAGTGTTCGCATGTCGGGCCAACCAGATAGGTTGTAGTAGTTTAAATCTGATTCCTTTTTGATCGTACGTACTGTCTATCCTCGTATGTAATAAATGACTTTATCTGCGTTGGTGAATAATGGAGTTAAATAAGTCAAATACGAGAATGGATTGAGAATACGAATATCTTCTACACTCATTGATCAGGCCAAGGAATCATTGCGATGAAGCGAACGGAAGAGAGAAGCAAAATGATGCGCACTTCAGAGATGGCTGGGAAGCCAACTCGAGAGTGAAGCAAAAAATAATGCGTATTGGAGATGGCTGGGAAACCAACTCGATTTAAGCAAGCGTTAATCAACATTTATAGTCGGACAAAAATGAGTGACAAACATACGATGAATAAGATACGAAGTGTACACATATATATACTCATATAAAAGTATAGCCAAGGTTAATAAGCGAATAATGAACAAGATCAAAAGATGACTCATGACAGGCGAATTGGCTTGGCCAGCAACTAGAATAAAGTATATGGGCTTAATAAATAAACTGATACTACACTTTTCCCTTCATTACAAAACTCATATGAAAAATTTTATTATTCATTTCAAAACTTCTTATCCCTTGTAAATTTATCATTTAAAAAATAATCATAAATTACAGCAATACAATAAACTCTATTCTGATTAGCTAATATAGTACCCAAGGTTATATGAACTTTCTAAGGTCATACATTTTGTGTACTTTTATCCTTTTATGGGACTCCTCAGAAGTGTGAATTCACAATCTTGTGTCGCAGCATTCGAACCGAAGACCTATTGGTTTCACGCACGACCACTAAGCTGGACGTCATCAGACGGTGTTAATGTTTGACTCCAATTAGTCCATGAAATTGAGCGACACGTCCACTATTGTCTTCAGTGAGTTACTATCTCACAACAGATCTGATTGAACTACACTGGTCACTGCTTCTCATTAGGACTCCTAGAAATACCTCTTGAAGTCAGTCACTAGTTAACATATGTTGATTATTATCAAAATGGTTTTTTTTTGGATATTATAGTAATTTTAATAGTTGAGATCATAAGTCAATTGAACCTAGACCACCATGAAAAACTTGTAAACACTGGACGGCCGTTTCGTTCTATTATGATACTCCTCAGCAGTGTATGTTTAGATTGTGCAGTGTAGCACGCTACAAGAGCAAATAACTCACTAATCATATAAAAATTCACTTTAATTTAATCAAGAAAGCAGTCAATATCATATAACAAGAATAAATGTGTAACTTTAAAATAACCCGATAATGCAAACTAGAATTTGATAACTCGAGATGTGAAACTATAATTTGTGAATGAATCAATCAAATTTAAGACTTGAATTTTCTCTGAGCTAGATGGTTTGGTCATGAAGCTTTCATCGCTGTTTTGAATGACATCATTAGAGCAAACTTCAGATAGTAGTGAAGTGTTCGAATTTCTCTACATATTACTTACTTACTTACTTACTTACGCCTGTTACCCCTCGTCGAGGAGCATAGGCCGCTCACCAGCATTCTCCATCCAACCCTGTCCTGAGCTGTCCTTTCCAGTTGCTATTCATCATTTTCATATCTGCTTCTATTTCCCGGCGTAGTGTGTTCTTTGGCCTTCCTCTTTTCCGCTTCCCTTCACCATTCCAAGTTAGGGATTGAATCGTGATGCACATTAGTGATTTCCTTAATGTATGTCCTATCCACTTCCAACGTGTTTTCGTAATTTCCTCTTCAACTGGAAGTTGGTTTGTCCTCTCCTCTCTACAAATGGTTCATAGTTTGTCTTGTAGACCTCGATGTTGATTGATTATTATTAACCTTTAACCTGTTATTGTTTACTTCTTTATTTTAGTAGTACCTCTCATTGGTTTAAGGTTAACAATAACCAATGAATTTCGAGGTCTACATGACATGGCATCTACCAAAATACATTCGATGTCTGACCATCACCATATACTACTTATATAGATATAAGTAGATCACACTACACTATTTGAAGTTTGTGCTGATGATGTTGTTCAGAATAACGTTAAAAGCTCCACGACTAAACCAACTAGCTTAGAAAACAAAACTCCACCAGCAATAATCAAACAATGTGTATGTGTGTGTGTGTATGTGTACGAGAGACAGAGAGACATAGAGACTTTACAGGATATCATATCGATTATAAAACTAAATCTTTACTGGACACTTAATATAGTTCTATAATGTATATTTCATTGTCAAACCTAAGTTCAAATTATATAATTAAATGTAAACAAAATCAACCAGTTACATGTCATGTTACATTGAATAATCACTAAGTATGTTTTAATGTGTGTGTGTGTGTGCGTGTCTATGTGCGTGTGTATGTGTGTGTAAAAATAAACAATACTATCAATCAATTTCTATTTCAGAAGGGGGTTTTGTGGAGATTTCAGTATTTTTCATAGTTGAAATCATAAGTCAAGTGAAGTTAGACCATCATGGAAAAAACTGGAAGAACTGGATGGCCATTTCGTCGTATTATGGGACTCCTCAGCAGTGCTATATATAATTTCTATTTGTAATATTCCATTTATTTATGTTTTTGTAATGTGAAACTTTCATGATCCTATCCCAATTCAAATAGAAGAAAACTTCTGAATGAAATAATTTTTGTGTAGGGGAAAGATTATCATCAAAGCAATCAGGAGTAAGGTGAATATCTTTAGTGAAATGAGATAATAATGAACGAGTAATATAATGGCCTTCCTATTTTCCCCTTCCCTTCACCATTCCAAGTTAGGTGTTTCCTCGTGATGCACACTAATGATTTCCTTAATATATGTCCGATCCACTTCCAACATCTTTTCCTAATTTCCTCTTCAACTGGAAGTTGGTTTGTCCTCTCCCATAAAACGCTGTTGCTGATAGTATCCGGCCAATGGATGTTGAGTATTTTGCGCAAACAACTGTTTATAAATACTTGTACCTTCCTGATGATGATCGTAGTAGTTCTCTACGTTTCAGCTCCGTACAGTAGAATTATCTTGACGTTTGTATTGAGGATTCTCATTTTGAAATTAGTTGAGAGTTGTTTTGAGTTTCATATGTTCTTCAATTGTAGAAATGCTACCCTTGCTTTGTCAATCCTCTCCGTTACATCTGCATCAGATCCTCCTTATTCATCAATGATGTAGCTGACTAGGTACGTGAATGTTTTCACGTCTTCCAGAGTTTCTACATCAAGTGTGATTGGGTTGGTGTTCTCTGTGTTTTACATTTGGGATTCTTGCTTTTTCCTTTGCATATGTTGAGGCCTATTGATTCAGGAACTGCTGCTACATTTGTTGTCTTCGTTTGTATTTTTTGGTGTGTATGAGATAGGATGGCTAGGTTATCTGCGAAGTCCAAATAATCTAATTGATTCTGAGATGTCCATTGTATTCCATGCTTCCCCTCAGATGTCGAGGTCTTCATAATCCAGTCAATCACCATAAGAAAGAGGAAGAAACTTTAACCAAGTGAGACTATATTTTGTGATCGAACTAATTACATGATGCCTTTTGAATTTCTGTATTATAATTAATATTAGTTTGTTATGACTACTTTTATAAAGGATCTAGGATACGGTTAATCTA